GGGGGTTATAGGGGTCCTATAGGGGATGTAGGGGGGATATATGGGGGTCTATAGGGGATGTAGGGGGGTCTATAGGGGTTCTGTCGGGGGGGATATAGAGGATGTAGGGGAAGTATAGGGGATCCATAGGGGATCCATAGGGGATAAAGGGGGGGTATAGGAGGTCTATAGGGGATATAGGCGGTCTATAGGGGTTATAGGGGATGTTCAGGGGTTATAGGAGGGGATGGAGGGGTTCTATAGGGGTTCTATAGGGGATGTAGGTGTCTGTAGGGTTCTATAGGGGATGCAGGGCTGGTTTAGGGGGTTTGGGGGTTCCCGTGTGGATTTTGGGGTTCCCGTGTGGATTTTGGGGTTCCCATGTGGATTTTGGGGTTCCCATGTGGATTTTGGGGTTCCCGTGTGGATTTTGGGGTTCTTGGGAGGATTTTGGGGTTCCCAGGGGGGATTTTGGGGTTCCCGTGTGGATTTTGGGGGTTCCCGTGTGGATTTTGGGGTTCCCGTGTGGATTTTGGGGTTCCCAGGGGGGATTTTGGGGTTCCCGTGTGGATTTTGGGGTTCCCGTGTGGATTTTGGGGTTCCCAGGGGGATTTTGGGGTTCCCGTGTGGATTTTGGGGGGTTCTCGTGTGGATTTTGGGGTTCCCGTGTGGATTTTGGGGTTCTCTGGAGGATTTTGGGGTTCCCAGGGGGGATTTTGGGGTTCCCGTGTGGATTTTGGGGTTCCCGTGTGGATTTTGGGGTTCCCGTGTGGATTTTGGGGTTCCCAGGTTGGATTTTGGGGTTCCCGTGTGGATTTTGGGGTGGTCCCTGTGGATTTTGGGGTTCCCGTGTGGATTTTGGGGTCCCTGCCCCTTCCCCGCAGGCGCCCCCCGAGGGGATGCCGAGAGCGCCCCGGCATGGCTGACAAGAGGAAGCTGCAGGGTGAGCCCTGATTGGCTGGGACGGCGTGGGCGGGGCCACGGGGAGAGGCTCTGATTGGCTGGGATGGCCTGGGTGGGGCCAGCCAGAGCCGCTGATTGGCTGGGAAAGCCTGGGAGGGGTCACAGGGTGGCTCTGATTGGCTGTGGTGTTCTGGGTGTGGCCTGACTCTGATTGGCTGCCGAGTTCTCGTTGTGGCCAAAGAGAGGCTGTGATTGGCTGTGAGGCTCTGGGTGTGGTCCAAGACTGGATCTGATTGGCTGTGGGGGGGGGGGTGTGGTCCAAGACCAGCTGTGATTGGCTGTGGGGCTCTGGGTGTGGTCCAAGACCAGCTGTGATTGGCTGTGAGGCTCTGGGTGTGGCCCAAGGCCAGCTCTGATTGGCTGTGGGG